TGCTTCCACAGCACTCAACATTTTATTTGGTTAACTGTATACTTACTTGCTTATTGCTACTTTCATCTAGGATGGATAAATATGAATTATAGGAGCTAAATGATGTAAAACTTCCAACATAAGTAGTAAAATTTGCCCACAATATACAGCACCCTAATAAGACAAAGGATATCTACAACACAAACCTTACAATTACTATCATGCTTGGTAGTAAACTGTGAATGCTTCTTCCTGAATTTGGGGACAAAATAAAGATGTCCACTATCAGCACTTCTATTCAACACTGGATTGGAGAGCCTAGTCAATGCAATAAAGAAAAAGTAATAACATATATAAAGATCAGGAAATAAGAAATAAAAACTTATTATTCACAGATGACAGACATGATAGTGTATAAACTATAAATGCAAAAAAAAAATCTACAAATTCTTTCAAAAGAATCAAGACAGTCCAAGCTATTAAGTGAATTTAGCAGAATTTTTGGATAAAATGACAAAAGACAAATATCAACTGTGTTTCTCTACAAGCCACAAAGAATTGGAAAATAAAATTTAAGAAAAAATGCAATTAAAATATATCACCAAAAAAATAAAATGCATAGTAATAAATCTACTAAAAGATATGCAAGACTTCTACAGTAAAAACAAAACACTGCTAAGAAAAATTAAAGACTTAAATAGATAGTTATACCACGTTCAAGGAAGAATTAATATTGTTAAGATAGTAGTTGTTCCTAAATTGGTCCATAGATCCAATATCTTAATCAAAATGAAGCACATTTTTTGTTATAAATGGGCAAGCTGATTCTAAAATTCAGCTAGAAACGCAAAAGGCCCAGAGTAGTCAAAGTGAAGTTAAAAATATCACGATTTACCATAAAGCTACAATAATCAAAACTAGTAACAAACTAGACCAACGTAACAAAACAGAACGACTACAAACTAACCAATACAGTTATCAGTTTCGTAAGAAGGCATTACTGTAATTTAGTGGGGATAGGTTGGTCTTTGTAATAAATAACATTGGTACAATTAGATATCTACATGGAATGTAGGACCCTCTCTCACACAATACACAAAAATTAATTTGAAATGGATCATAACAAACATAAATAAGAAAGATAAAACAACAAAGCTTCTAAAAGAAAACACAGAATAGCATCTTCAAAACCTTGGGGCAGGCAAGATTCTTCAAGAGAACACAAAAAGCAGCAAACATAAAAGAAAAGACTGACATATGAGACTTGACTTCATTAAATTTAAGAACTTCTGTTCATTAAAACACACACACACACACAGACACACACACAGACACACACACACACAAAACCAGGTATTAAGGAGTAAAATGGCAAGCCGTGGCTGAAGGAAGACATTTGCAACATGCATATCCCCAAAATGAATCTACCTGCAATACATAAGAAATCATAAATAAATTTTAAAAACACATATAACCCAACATAAAAACAGGCAACAGATTTGAACAGTCACTTCACAAAAGAAGACACATAAAAATTTACTTAACATCATTCAACATGGACAAATGCAAATTAAAACCACCATGAGACAGCACTAGATAACCATCAAAGTGGCAAAAATAAGACAGATAATGCCAAGTATTAGTAAAAATGTGGAGCAACTCGATCTCACATCCAGTTGGATTTCACTTTAGAAAATGTTTTGGCAATTTTTCATGAAGTAAAACTGTATGCCTATGCTACAATCCAGCAATTCCACTCCTAAGTATTTACTCAAAAGAAATAAAAACATAATCTTAAAAAAAGACCTGTACAAAAATATTCACAGTAGCTACCCTGTAACAGCTAAAACAAGACAATTCACTGCTCATCAACAATAGAATGGATAAATGGTGACCCATTCATATAAGGAAACACTACACAGTATTAATACAGTATGAACTACTATTCCATGCAACAAAGCAAACGTAATGATGACTAAAGAAACCAGACACATGACATTTCCTGTTTTTCTTTTCTTTTGAGACAAGGTGTCACTCTGTCACTCAGGCTGGAGTGCAGTGGCACAATCAGAACTCACTGCAGCCTCAACCTCCCAGGCTCAAGTGATCATCCTGCCTCAGCCTCCCAAGCAGCTGGGACTATTGGTATGCACCACCATGCCTGGTGAATTTCTTTATATTTTTAATAGAGATGAGGTTTCGCCACATTGCCCAAGGTGGTCTTAAACTCCTGGGCTCAAGTGATCCGCCTGCCTCAGCCTCCCAAAGTGCTGAGATTACAGGTATGAGCCACCGCGTCTGGCCCACATATGATTCCTTTTATAAAATACGAGGTAGTGACTGGAAAAGGCAAAATCAAGTCCTCTGGTGTGCTGGCAATGTTCTATATCTTGATTTTGTTAGTAGTTACACCAATGTATTAACATATTAATAATTCAACAAGCTGTACACTTAAAATATATGCGCTGCACTTTATTATAAAGTTACACCTCAATTGTTTTTAAAAATTTAAATCTTTTACACAAAATTAGGTCAAAAAGTATAGTCAAACCTAATGTTTTCAGGAATATTCCTTCATGTCTGATTTTAATAAGAAAACTCTCTAGCAAGATATAATAAATATAAAAATTGAAGTATAAGAATATACATAGTAGTATCTGGTCTAATTTTTATGGTATTGAAAAGTCAGTCCAAAATTTATAAAATTTATAAATTTGTCATGTTTCTAACACACACAAAAAAGAAAGTTACTCTATGTCCTTAAAAAAGGTACTTGAACATTAATGATTTTTTTCACAATAGTTCCAAAGTTTAGACTTTACGGCTCCCCTTTATCAAAATATAAATAAAAAAGAAATCACCAAAACAAAATATAAGTTCCTGCTTCTATGACAATTTAGTACATTCTAAAGAGCATCCCTTTGGCAAATCATTTATCTTCATCCATAAAGTGCAGAAAGCGAGATTACCTCTAAAGGCTATTTTTAATGTTCAAGGATTCTATGATTCTGACATTCAACTAATTAAAAACTCTGATTAGTTTCCCGAAATACCTTCCAAAACAGAAGTCTTTTGTGTGACATTCAGTCTTAAATCAATACTATATTCATATTTACCCTTTTCCAATCTTTTCTCACATTGGCCCTATATAAAGCCCATGCAATTTCCTTTCTCCTTATTTTTGTTAATGTGATGTCCTCCATATAAAACATCCCTCTCCCAGCTGGGTGTGGTGGCTCATGCCTGTAATCCCAGCACTTTGGGAGGTCGAGGCAGGAGGATCACTTGAGGCCAGGAGTTAAAGACCTGCCTGGACAACATACTGAGACCCCGTCTCTAATATTAAAAAAAAAAAGAAAAATCTTAGCCAGGCTCCTGCTTGAGCCCAGGAGTTGCCACTGCAGTGAGCCATGATCATTCCCCTGCACTCCAATGTGGGCAACAGAGTAAGACTCTGTCTCAAAGAAAAAAAAAGAAAGAAAAAAAAAATCCCTCTTCTAAAGCTTTATATTTGCCTAACAAAATCTTTGTCATCTCTAAATATACTCATACATTAAAATATTCATTATGCATCTTCTCCATGTAAGGCAAGAAACTAGACAATAGACTGAGGACAAAGAAACAGGCCATGGTTCCACCAATAATGTGGACATGTGAAAAAGACTAACCCTGGCTGGGTGCGGTGACTCACGCCTGTTATCCCAGCACTTTGGGAGGCCGAGGTGGGTGGATCACCTGAGGTCAGGAGTCCAAGACCAGCGTGGCCAACATGGTGAAACCCCATCTCTACTAAAATACAAAAATTAGCTGGGCATGATGGTGGGTGCCTGTAATCCCAGCTACTTGGGAGACTGAGACAGGAGAATTGCTTGAAACTAGGAGACGGTGATTGCAGTGAGCTGAGATTGCGCCACTGCACTCCAGCCTGGGCAGCTGAGCGAGACTCCGTCTCAAAAAAACAAACAAACAAAACAAAGAGTAACCCTAATACAAGTTAGAAACAAATAATTGGCAAAAAGGCCAATTTATATTGTCATAGTAAAAACAAAATAAATAAGCCTTAGACCTAGCTGCAACTCCCAACCCTTTCAATTTTCCCTATTTTATTCTGAGATAGTCTTCTCTCAACTGTTCCGTATCACTATAAGACTTTTATATCACTTACTCATAATACCATTTATATATCTGTATTATTCCCCCAATATATATAAAACTTAAAAAAGACTTTTTCCTGTATACTTTTCATATCCACTAAATTTTTTAAGCACTAAATACATTCAAGTAATAATTTTAAAAACTACTTGCCAAAAGTGAAGATCTCCCATATTTTATCTGATAATAATTATGGCCAAAGAGATTATAATTAAGTAAAAATTAAAAGAATTTGCACCTCACTGGAAATTCCTAAGGCAAATTTTATGGAAAGTTAACCAAGAGTTAGGTTCCTTGAAAAACTGAATTTATTCTTCTAAACTTTTTCATAAAGGGAAAAAATTGACTTATTTTCCTTTTAAAAAGTTTCCCAAAACACTCTTATATTAACCTGAAATATATAAGCTTTGATACTTTATCATATACCTACAAAAACAAAAATATAAAACTTAAATTACCTTCTGCCTAAAACACTCAATCATTCCATGTCCACAAAACAGTATTTCTGAGTGTATCTGTATTGCAGCTGACAAAGTCTGAGCTATGTGACACATTTCTATAACAGTAGTGCTGCAGAAAGATTAATATCCATTTTTTACATTTAACCTATTAACAACTATTTGTATTTTATTATGCTGTATATAGTTATAGTCTAGAAGGATGTGACTATTTGATTACATAATCAAATTTATATAAGCACCATAATCTAGTATGAATTAGCTTGCTATCTGAATATTTCAAAACACTACCATTTAAAAATAGCTAAAGTTTTTCCATCAAGCATTTCAAAAACTTAAATTCACAGCCTTATGTAAGATACAATTCAAAATCTATCTCACCATTTTACTCTGAATAAACTTATACTGTACCTGGTTACTACCATGGCCAAAAGGAGTACTAGATAAATTAGTGGTTACACTGTGCAAAATAATTTCACCACTAAGAGATCCAGAAGCAATGTAGCAATCATTCCAATTGTATGTTACACAAGTTACTTCATCTTTATGATCCTGAAAGAGAGAAATGAAAGTAAGTACGCTGCCCCATAACCCTCGAATAGCCCATTTTCATGTTTCTGTAAATACCATATATTATGTACTTATCAATCTAATATTTGCTTTAACATTTTCCTCAAATACACAGAGAATTATTTTCAATAATGATAAAAATGGTCCAGGCACTTTACAAAAGAGAGAGAGACATTATGGAAAGGTAATTTTCTACATGGCATTATGTCTACTTTAAAGAATTCACTTCCTCTGACAAATAACAGGTATTGCAAGTTGACTACTTTGATTTCCTGCTTTAACACGAAAATGGCAGAGAATATGCTAAATGAATGATGGAGGCAAAGTGTCAGAGGAAAGAGAAAGAGCTACTGTGAATGAAGTTGGCAGAGGAAGCTTTATGGAAGACATAAAGCTGGAGTTCAACCTTAAAGAAAAGAGAAAAATCATGGGAAGGGGAAAGAAACCAGACATTGCAAAACGGAGGAGTGGGAAGGACAAATGAGCGAGGCATCTGTGAGATAACAGCAGCTGCTTCCATTTGCTCAGAACCTACTAGTGCTAGGAGCTTTATATATTATTTAATGCTTAGAAAAGCCTGAGGGGCAAGGTTATTTTGCCCATTTTATAAACAAAGTACATGAGACACAGAGAGGTTAAGAAACCCATGCAAGCTCACATAACTGCTAAGTGACCAGGATTCAACTCCATGTCAAACTCCAAAGCCTCTGTTCCTTCCACTATACCAGGCTGCCTCTCAAATCCAATTAGGAATACACTTTGAGGAAATAAAACTTTCAGGTTTTAAACAAACTGAGTTCACAAGGACTATGTTTTCCAACATCAAATTAGAGATGTCTAGCAGGAGCAGAGAAAAGTTATCAAAATTGGGAGAAGAGTTTTTAACAGGAAGATGCCATATCTCAATAATACCAACAAACTAAGCCCTGTATCTAATAATTATTTATGTAATAGCAAGAATAATAGCTATGATATTCCACTTACAACTTTTTCAAGTGGTCCTTCAAGTATTTTCAGAGATTTCTTTACCTTTTATTCCATTTCTAAAACCAAGGAACGCTTGCTATCTTGAGGAAAAAATGTTTGATGAAAAGAAAAAAGGAAAAGCAGATATTTTGGGTATCGTTCCCATTTGGGAAATTAAGAACATGTGGTCCAATGTAATTTATATGACTTTATAAAGAGGCAAGTGTCTTCCTAATTTCAACTGTGGAAAGTAAGTCATTCAGCAAACATTTACTAAGAACCTACCAAGTGCCAGAGATTGTGTTAATCACCAGGGAGAGGACTGTAAAGATTCAAAGGTAAAACATTAGATTTCCCATTATCACAATTAGTCAAAATATTCATTAACAGAATGAATGAGGGAGCTAAACATTATGAATTTCACACTAAAAAGACAGAAAACCATCCAGAGTAATTGGGAAAGCTGAAAATGGAAAAGTGTATCAAATTTTGCCATGCAGGGATGGGGTAAGCGAAGCTTACACGGGTGATGGGTTAAAGAAAGCTCTTCCTCTGTGTATGTGTCTAGATATATGTTTATATTTTTCATATTAAAACCTTTTTAAAAGGCAAAAATTAAATTTAAGATCAACTTCTAAATATTAAAAAGACAATATAATGAAAAGTAGAATTCCAAAAATATAACCAGAGACTATGTTGTGCTAAATATTTTTATTTTCTGAAACTACCAAAAGCTAATTATTAAAGAAACATTAATTGTAAATAGTAAATTGGTTTACAAAATATTACCAAGTTAAAAATACAAACAGATAAAAAATAACACAAACAAGAGCAGCCAAATATACTACATAACTAAAAAGCTGAACCCCCAACTCTGATTACTATATTGAATACTATCATCCCAAAACAACTCTCATTTTTTCCAGCTTGCCCTAAGGAAAGATCCCTGATGACCACAAACCATAGTTTAGAAAAAAATGAGTGAAGTGGTTCATTCAAATAAGAGTAGAACTAAATGAAAAAAACAAGAAAAAAGTTTTAAATGTTGATCATATGCATCAATTCTATACATGGAAGAAAAAAGACATAAAAACAAGTTTCCGGCTAAATAGCACCTTTATTTTCCCTAACAATTCTGAAGCCCCTTATTTTTATCATAAAAGCTCAAAAATAAAAGCTTGGTAAGTACTCTAAATGCATTAAGATATCCATTTTTTTGTAAAGATTTTTTTTTAATTGCTTACCTTAAGAGATCGATGAATTCTTTTTGATTTTAAATCCCAAATATTAACAATGTTATTTAGGCCTCCGCTTACCAAATACATAGATGTAGAATTTAAATTGACACATGTCTGCTTTTGCTATTTAAAAAAAAATAAAAATAAAAGTTACTTTAATTTAACAGAGCTCAGAGCTGACTTTCAGGTCTCATCCAACACTTAATAAGCATGTGATAAATATTTGTTAAATACTAAAAACATGCTAATCTTGTACTAAAGAGCCACTCTCTCATTGTCTTTCTCCCACATGGATCCAACAGCTTTTAAGGGGGTCAAAAATGCTTCAAGGAAATCAAATAGATGTGCGTTCATTTCTGTGGACTGGTGACAACACAGGAAGCTTAGGAGACATTGGCAGTCCTGGTCTCCCATCACAGCTTGTTTGCCCATCCTATCTCCCCTTGATAAAGCCTGTTCTTGTATTTCCACAGAATATCCTACATTAAAATCAATCCCCAGCTCAGAAATGCTAAAAATAGAAGAGACTTTAAAGAATTTCCAGTGTAGAGTCCTCATTTTACCAATGAAGTAAGTTTTTTAAAAGAAGTCAAGATACTTGCCCTAAGTCTCCCAGCAAATCTCCCTGTTAAGGAGACCAAGTCTCAGACATCAGGTCATCAAAGTCCAACCTCACTTGTTCCCCATCTCTGTAAAGACACCATCCAGTTTCTCAAGACAAAAACCTAGTATAACCCTTGATTTCTTGTTCTCCCTCCCCTCCAATCTATCAGTAAGCTCTCTAAACTCCAACCCAAAAATGAATCCCACATGGGCTCCCTTTATCCATAGCTACTACTAACACTAACCCAAACCTTGCCAAACTACGACAGCAGCTTCCTAACTGGTTTCCCTGTTTCCACTCCTGCTTTCCTATATTCTGTTCTTCATAAGTAGGGTGGACTTTACAAATGTAAATCAGATCATGTCTCCTTCCTGTTTAAAAATCTTCAACGGCTTCCAATCACACCACGAATAAACTCCAAACATTTACCTGGCTTTCAAAGTCCTATTATCTGGGCCCTACCTCATCTGTTACAATTTTCTTCCTCATCCACTAATTCTCCAGCCATACTGACCTTCCATTCCTTAAATATACAACCCTATATTTGCCTCAAGGCTTCTACACAGCTATTCTCCTTGCCTAGAAAGCTAAATTCTCTGAACCTTGTTTGGAAGACCTTCTGGTCAACAGATCAACTTAAGAGCCACCACACTTCAAGGGAACTCCACTGGCTACTTAATGTAACTTGCTATTGCAATATCTTATTTTAGTTATCCGCATGATAACTTATCAATATCTGGGTATTTTTTGTTTACTAGTTTACTGCCTGTCCCCTGCCAGAATGTCAGTTTCACTAGCACAAAGCTATATCCATGCTCGATCTTTATAGAATGGCTAAAATACAGATGTTATCAAGTTCTTCTCAATGAGTATCTTTGAGTGTCACCAATCTGGTGGTGCCATCAGTAACTATGCTACACAGAACACAATGGTGCATTTTTTTCCTATGCACTACCAAGTTTCCTATGCACTACCAAGTTAGTGCATTTTTCAGATGCACTACCAAGTTACATTAGTTGTAACTTCCACAGTGCATCCTTGGATTCTTCAAATTCAAAGGGGGCATTTTATGACTTTGCTGAAAGTTAAACGGCAAGCTATGTAGGTTTAGGCAAATCATCTCACCTTTCTGAGCCTGTGTTTCTGCATTTGAGAAACGAAAGGTGAAGACTAGATCTACTGTTCTTACTTTGAGAGTCTATGCTTCTCAGAAATATCCTCTGCTCAAAAGAGATTCTTTAAAGAGTGCAGATGGTCCCCTTCCTCTAGCCCTTCTCCCCCATTGCATGTTTAAGTACTATAAACATGCTAATCTTGTACTAAAGAGCCACTCTCTCATTGTCTTTCTTCCACATGGATCCAGCAGCTTTTAAGGGGGTCAAAAATGCTTCAAGGAAATCAAATAGATTTGTGTTCACTTCTGTGGACTCCAGGGTTCCTTCTAGCTCTGAAATTTTGACCAAGAGTATCAACTAACATATAAAAAAGGCAAGATGCACACAACATCAATGTTTCAGTACAGTTGCTGTAATTCTCCTGCAAATACCATTCTAGGAATTGACTTTGGTGGAGGGAGACTAAGAAGATTTAAAATCTGGTTGTCACTGCAAATCAGGAGAATTTGCTAAGAACTATCAAAACAGCCTTTAAATAAAATAGAAAAAGATGGTGTCCACTGAAGATCAATGTATTGGGACTCCAATCATCACAACAACTACAATTACTCTTAAGGGCTCAAAATAAAACTTATATTTAGAGCTGGCTAACCCTGATGATAGGTCTTTTTTAATGATAGTGTATTATTAATGCAACTAATGAACTTAAATAATTAATGGAAATTGTGTGGTTATTACAGGAATCCTGTACTGCTCAAGGTGCAAGGCAAAGGTACATTCTACTTTAAAGAGGTGAAATACAAAATCAAAGAAAATAAATATGAACTTAAAGTTCCACTCTAAAATTTTTAAATGAGTAGGATCATAATTTATTTTCTCAAGTAGAAAAGGTCTAATGCCTCAAACAATACACGAGTAAGAGGATTTGAAAGTTACAAAAAGGTTATTAGCACATAAATATGTTACTTTAAACATTACTAGTAAAAGCTAAAAAACCAATGTTTGCAAATATTTTTATAGCTAAATTAAAACAGACTGAAAATTTGAACTCAACTAATCTTACTTTCATTTATCAGCATTATGATATGATTTGTTAACTATGGGAAAGAGGGCTAAGAATCATAGCAACTAATTTGGAATATTCACAAAACTCTTAGAATTATATAACACTTGTAAATACCATCTGTTATTTTTATACTTAAAAAATAAAGCTCCCAAACACCAATTCACTGATTCTAAGGCATAATGCGTAACAGTAGTACATATATATAGTGGTAGAGTAGAAGTTAAAGTGGTTTTGACGTTGACATTAACAAGTGTTTTTTGAACATCTTAGGATACAAAGATCCAAAGATGGTTAAGATGTTTTGCCTGCTCTTGAAGACTTCAGTCTGCCTTTTATCGACCAGGGACATTCTATGCCTTGATTTCGCTTAAGACAGGTTAAACAGAGTGCCTCAAACTCCATTTCTACTGTTAGCAGATGTTCTCTCTGTCCCAGTCTCCAACATCTGTGGGTTAGAACTGAAGTTCAGGTCAATCCCACTGGATACCTTTAGGAGAGGATTGATAAAAATCATGAGTCCTCTTTAAATTAGTTGAGCTTTTATTCAATTGTCCTGCTGTTTTCTTTCTAATTGGGCTACCTTACCTATCCCAGTGTGTAAAATTATGACAATCCATAATAATTTAAGATTTGCTATGAAAACTTTGAAACAAACAAAAAACAAGCTATCAACTACTCATACCTTTTTATTCAAATCTTATTCTATTTAAAAAAGAAATAGCTTTCAAGGAATGTGACTGGAAATGAAGCAGCCAGTATCATCCTCAATCAGAGGGATTAACTTATAAAACAAAAGGATAGGCTGCCACGCCTGTAATCCCAGCACTTTGGGAGGCAGAGGCAGGAGGATCACAAGGTCAGGAGTTCATGACGGGCCTGGCCAACATGGTGAAACCCCGTCTCTACTAAAAATACAAAAATTAGCCAGGTATGGTGGTGGGCACCTATAATCCCTGCTACTTGGGAGGCTGAGGCAGGAGAATTGCTTGAATTCGGGAGGCGGAGGTTGCAGTGAGCCAAGATTGAGCCATTGCACTCCAGCCTGGGCAACAGAGTGAGATTCCATCTCAAAAAAAAAAAAAAAAAAACAAAACAAAAGGATAAGGCAACAGTATGCAGTGACAGCTTCATTTAAATGCCCTGGGACCTAAGCCCACTTTGACCAAAAAAACCTGTTTAAGGAGCGCATGGGGAGGCTCAGACAGGTCCCTCAGTACAGGTGGACAGAATCTGAAGCAGAGGGCTATCATCAGCTATGAGTCTGTTCCTGATGGTCCTGAGCTCAAGATCAGTAAACTAGTGCCGTGTCATTAGAGTTCATCTGCTCAGGTCAACCTAGTAACCTGTGTGGGACACTGTCCTAAAATAGCAGCAACAGGAATCCTCTCCCACAGAAGGAAAATGAAGAAACAAAGGGCCTAGTTAACAAAATTCAAGTCTTCAATTGTTCCCCTAATATTCAAAACTATTATACCTAAAAATACCTCAGTAAGTACACATATCTCATTTTTAAGTGTTACTGTATTATTTTGAGCTTAAGTTAAAAATGATGCTTTTAAAAACCTTTATATTTAGTTGCAAGCACCACAATAAACAAGCAATTGCCAGTCAAGCAAAACTAAGATTTTTAACAGTTTTAAAAAAAAAATCACTTACCCCTTCAGCAAGCTCTAAAAGTGGAACAGGTTTACATTTGCAACTTGAGACAACTATTTTGTCGCCACTGGAAGATGCTGTTACTAAAAAGTTATCTAAATGAAGAGTTATGGAGCATCAAACAATCCATGAACATCTATAGCACTAGAGACTATTATAAGAATTGCAATTATAAAAGCAAACACACTAAGACAATGAATGAGTAAGGCTTATAGAGTAGCTTTCAAAAATAGCTCACATTACTATTAATAATTACTAAGACTAATTCTCTTTGCTACTACTGCAGGGAAGAACTAGCCTTCCTTCTGGCTCTACTATCACTCAAAAGCTATTTAACCCATGTGAAATACTACTCTGTTTTCAAAGAGTAGGCCAGAAGGGCTAATTTTATCCTTCAAGAATAAGAGCACGATAAAAGCAGCATCAGCAAATATCAATCAACCTTTTCATCTACAGAAACTGTTCAAGATATTTATTAACCTAGTGCTTGGTACCAATCTAAACTAGGAAGCAAACATCCACACTAGTCCCCTATTTTTCTATTTTTTAAAAAAAAGACCTGATAGTTTCCCAGAACATGAATTTTTGTGATAGAATGTTCCAATTTTAAATTAAGAATGAATATTATAGTAACCTGCAAACATTTTACAAATATGTATGGTTAAATAGGAATTGTTTGTGTCATGAGTTTTAATTTTTAAATAAAATTTAATTGAATCTTAATTTAAAATTTTATTTACCTTCTTTTACATGAATCATAAGTGGAACAATCAGTAAACACAAAACAGTAAGTATTTTAAAACTAAAATGATTAAATACAACAATATATAACCAAGAATAAGAGTCTGATTTTGAGAGTCATAACAAATTAAAATATCAGAAGTTTAAATCTGTGCTTTTTAGCAATTAAAATGTGAGTAAAAACAATGGAGAAAGGTTAATTAGACACTCAGAATCCCTAACTGCATTAACTTTTGAATGTTCTGCATAACTTTCAGGTATTTTGTAAACAGAGCATGGACTGTAATTTTATTACGATACATGATGCAAATCAAATCATTTCTACCTAGATATTACCATAGTGAGAAAAACCATTTCCCTTTCCTTGACTTCTTCCTATGTTTACCACTACTTTTCTCCTTAGAATATAGAAAAAAAAAAGAACTGAAACATAATGTGGGTGGGTAATCTAGTTACTTTTGTATTTCTCTTGTAGTTTTAGAAATCATGAGAAAGTGAGGAACATAAGCTAAACGACAAAAAACAAAAAACTAATCTCTCTGGCATCTCACATTAACCCCATTCTTGGAATCTATGCTATGTGGACCCCAAGTTGCTAAGGCTGGGAACTCTTTGATCTTCAGTAATTAACCTCCATGGAAGTGATCAAAGCCTTATTAAGAGTAAGACTGTATGAAGGCTTTCAGTGCACATCTGCTCACGCAAGAAAACGATAAGACCAATTTCCAAAAGTCATACAACACTATCTCATAGCTACATCAGTTTTGTTGCTAGACTATTAAGCAGCACATTAGTAAATGCCAACTCCTAGTAAAACTCCTTAAAACAAAAGTCAACCAAAAAATAATCTTACTACAAATTGCTACTTTTATATAATAAGAGGGAAAATTAAGCTCTAAACATAATGAAAATCTAAAAATAGAGAACAGCAACTTCACACACTTGTCGCTCTCTTTAAAATATTTTCCCTACTAAATATCTGGAAAGTCCTTCAAAAATGTAGTCATTTCACCATGAGTTTGATTAACAGAGTACCAAAATAATTTGTTGTACTGCTTTAATACAAAATATAGGAATGATAAGGAGGTAAATTTAATTCAGTAAGAAAATCTGTCCTTCTTGTTATAGACATGCAAGAATAGTAAGGCTCATATAAAACTTTTAATATTTTTGTTCCTGAACCAGTCATATTTTAAAGCTTTGATTTTTTTCCTTTCACCAGAAAGCAGAATTTAATACTTTGGTGTTGATAAAAATCAGACAAATGTTAAAAATTTGTTAAGAAATTGCATATGAGTTTCACAAAAGAAAATCTCTAACAGACCAATTATATAAAACATTTTCATATAAAAGGTGATAGAACTGTGGTTACAGCAGTGGTTCTCTACTGGGAGTGATTCGGGCGATTCTGGAAACATTTTTGGTTGTGACAACTAGAAGCTATTAGTACCTAAGGGGAGAAGACCAATAAACCTTCTCCACATGGTACAACATACAGGAAAGATCCACAACAAATTTTCTGCCCCAAAAAGTCAATAGCGCAGGGTTCAAAAACCCCAGTTTACAGTCTTCACTCCCTCATTTTATTTTATCCACATTTAGGAGCTCACCAAGACAGGGGAGGTGTCAATCAGAAACATAAAAAGCTTAGAAAAATTCAATCTAGGTAACTTTACTATGTCTGTTTAGGAAAAAAGTAGTTTTCATCACACACAGAGAGGAAGGAAGATATGGAAGATATGGAGAGTACATCAGTAAGATGGAGATATTGGACAATTTTTTATCTCCTCCCAAACTTGCTTCCGCCTTCATGTTCTGTCTTTAATTTTCAGTTCAGATCCACAAATACCCAAATGTAGATGCAAAAACTCATTCCAAAACCTTTTGGAATTATTTCCACAATTACCAACCTTATTCCATTTGGTTCATTAAGAAACTTTTCATAACTAATTCTATGGTGTAGACAGAATATACTTTTTTAATAGCAATGTTTTCAAATGAAGTGGGTTGCAACTAAATTTTTTTTAAATGAACCCAACACATAAAATCAGAGTGCATTCATATGATACATTGTTTTGTAAATTACTATTTTATGTTATCTATCCTTGGTAGCAATGCAAAATACATTACTCAGTATGAGTCACATGCAAAAGTTTCATTGACAGTGGTTGTTTAACCTAATAAGTGGTTTGTGTGTGTGTGTGTGTTTTTTAAAGGATACTATTGCTGCTCCAACATACTGAGCTGATTCCATGTGGTGATGTGTGTGGGTTGAATGTATCCACCAATGTCATAGATGAAGCATCCCATATTTTGATATCATCTCCTGATGAAGCAAATCTGAGGTTTTCCTGCATGACTGCGCCTACAAATAGTTTAAAACA